CCCCAAAACCCCAAAACCCCAAAACCCCAAAACCCCAAAACCCCAAAACCCCAAAACCCCATCATTTTATTTCAGGTCTGCCTGTTTTATATAAAAATGAAGTCCGAGGGCTTTAATCCTTTTAAAGATCAAAAACTATCGAGATAATATCTGGAGAAATGCAAGAAGGCTTCTTTATAAATTTTTAGTTTAAATTTTAATAGTTTAGGCACGTCGCTGGGTTATTTAGAGTCTAGGCTACTAGTAGACGACTCTGAAATTTTCCTTTTGTTTCTTTGTGATGTATCCATCCCTTGGTCCTCTACTAGAATGTAAATCCAAGCCCAATAAAATTAGTCTTACCTCTCTCAGATGCTTCTAAGTCGTCAACTTCGACGATTTGTTTCACATTATTAAGTCCTACAGTCCGATTTGTCCTTCCTTCTTTCACTAAAAATTTTGGTAAATATTTTATCTTACCTTCAGTTGCAGGGGCCAAAAGAGTACAAGTAGGGAGGGACATCTTACTGGTATCTGAAAGCCGAGGCGAATTCTCTGAAATCACATTGATTTCAGCAATCAACTCTCTTACTGGCCTGAAATCTCAGTCCAAGTCTGGGTACTGGAATGTATCCGAAGACTGCACGGTAAACTTTTTGCTCTCAATTTTGTTCATGCTCACTTTTTCTTTCAATAAAATAGACTCAAGATTGTAACTGTTCATGATATCTTCAGAACAGTTGGATCTAGAGGATGAATATTGCTAACTTACTCTATCTTCGTGGGTGTCCTGAACTTCTTGGAGTAGGAGTCAATAACTGATCATAAATTTTGACACTTTTGCTCTAAAAATTCAAGATCCATCTGTAGTGAAGTCTGGTAGGAGTTCACCATACTTTTGTACTTAATCTTCAGAAGTTCTTCCCTAGAGTTGAGCTCTTTCCTGATTCTATCAAAGAACTGGCTGAGCTGGGAGAGATCATCTGCCTCTCTTGCTTCGAGATGAAGCAACTCATTCTTTGTGGTCTTGAAAATGTCAGAATATTGTTCTAAGTAGGACTTGATAGTCTTCATTTGCTTGTGTTTGTCTGAGTTCTCATTTTGAGAGTCAATAACCTCACTTGCAATTGCTAGTCCCTCCAAGACATTATTTACCAATTCAGAACATTTCGATGAAGGGTGATCTGCAGTCTCAACCTCTGAGGTTTTATCGGAGTGAACTCTTTTCCTCTGTCTTGCACTATTTTGAGTTAAAAATAAAACCTTACTTAGATGAATTTTCTTGCAAGGCAGCTTGAGAAAAGCAGAATTGATTAGAAGAATTCTCTTTGATAGTTGCCTGGCCAGTTTTACACTTAGAATCAAGCTTAACGTTTGTCGGGAGCAGAATCTTGAGGTTCTTGTTAGCCTTCCTGCCAATTATCAGCTTAGAAGGGGTCACTACAGTATGAAAATACTAATCTTACTCAGATTTTCTCTAGATTTTTCTTGAGGTATATTAATAGACCGATTGAGCCTAGACTTAGTTAAAAGGATCCTTAATATCACTTACTGTTCTTGGCATGGAATTTTCAAGTTTTGATACTCAATGGGGCCATAAGAGGATTTGTTCATGCATGGGTTAACTCAGTTCTCTTCTCTATAAAAAGTTTGTATTAGCCTAAGATACACAAGACTTACTCTATTTTCTTAGCTGGTTCACCAGAGCCAGTTTTATCATGGCTTAAGAAGTCTTCAGGAGAGCTTGACATACTCTTCTTTCTTTTTTTAATGATCTTGGTCAAGTTCATTGAGTTGTGTTGATTAGTAAGACCCATATTTGTCTTCCTTCTCACTTTCTTAATTTTGAATTTGCTTTTGTTTGACAATACACCTCCCTGATTTTGAGACTCATCGCTTTGCTTCCTTCCTGAGTGTTCGTCAAAATCATCATTAGGCTGAAGATAAATTGCAAAACATACCTGGAAAGTATTTTGGAGGGTAATTTTAGAGTTCCTGCTCATGAAAGACTCCGATTTTCTATTTCTCAACCGTCTATGTGCATAAATTTTTGCTATTTACTTAACCATCATGCTTGCAAATTCTAAATTTAGTCAGATTATTTCTCAAAAATAAAGTACAAAATCTTTAAATTAGGGTCATAAACAAAGTAGATACGAATTCTCCAAACATTGAAATTAGCTTACCTTCTTTTCCAAAGGTGCGGCTTTGATTAGCATCCTTTGCATCTGATCCTAATAAAGTTATTGCTTAAAGCATACCAAATCCATTCTTTAAAAGTTCCAGCTTTTTGAATGATTTCATGATTCTATACAGTAAGAGTTATACAAAAGATCAAATATTAGCCTAAACTATAGTCCTCTCCGTCATTTAGGAGCTAAATGAATGGCACCCAAATATTTATCTAATGATCTATCTAGAAAAGTCGTTAGATGGACTCTAATTTCATAGAGGAAATTAACCTTGAATTAATTGATGTGTTAACTCCTAGGCACTCAAACATTCTCCGATTTGAGAAGATCATATTAGAGAGGAGTTCGAAGATTCTACTGGAGTCTGGAATGAAAGAAGATACTAAAGGCCTCAGGTTCCCTATGAGATTTCTGATTGAGTTAAAAAGATCCAGAAATATGTACAGCTTGTTGAAGCTTTTCATATTAAGTCTGATAAGTTGCTCTGAGTTCTGAATACTAATCCTGGATTTCATGAGCAAGTTTACAAGGGATACGCTATTCACTAAACCTAAGGTTTTAGATAGTAATTATAGTAGAGATAGCAACTTTAGTTAGCATTCGGCGACTTTTTCATAAATTTGTCTATGAGTATCGTCCGTACCAGTCAAATAATAAGCTAATAATTTGAGTTAGGTAAATAAGCCATGATATTATGAAATCACTAAGTCACTAGAGTGTTTTTATGAGATAAAAGACATTTCTTCTCCAAAATTTTGAGGTTTTAAGTACTCAAAATCTGATTAATATCCCTTAAAAGCATAAATAACATAAAAAAATTTATTTAGTTACACTAATTCTACAATTTATGAAGTTTTATTAATAATTTTCAAATCAGCCTGCTGCTTACAGAATACTATTTAACTCAGAAATATGTCTTAAAGCATTACATTTTATGACATATAGTTATTTACTAAGCCCATGAAATCTGGAACCTGGCGATGGGAGTATTAGTACTAGTAACCACTAACAGCTGAGGTATGCTAACCTCCAATAAAATAGAGGAAGAAGGGATTTGATAATAAGCCATTTATCTGAATACTTGAGTGCTGATTCAGTCCCCAACATTTAGGCTGTCTTTGCATGAACAATAATAGATGTCATTTTAGGAACAAATTTTTCGAAATTTAGAAAAATTCTATTGTTGAAAAATTGAACGAAATTCGTCACCTAATTTTACAAAAATGCTAGGATAATATCCTTCCATAAAGTGAAGGACCGTATCTCTACATGTAAAGATATAGGCTTATTATCGAATAATTAAGGGAAAGGAAACAGAGACATCTCTACACTGATGCTCTAGAAAGAAAACCAAGTAACACTCTTTTTCCTTTGCTTGAAGGATAAAATGGAGAAACCCCTATGTATTTCAAACTGAGAAATATGGGAAATTAGTTCTAAAGCCTTCGATAATAAATCTAGATGGACCTACGATTTCTTTGAACTCTTGAGTCTTGCTCTAAGACCCGTTGGGATCTTCTTTGATGGCGAAGCAGTATTCTTAACTTCAGGCAATTTGGTCTGGTTTATTGTCGAGGAGCTTAACCCTTTGATGCCTAAAGCCATATTTAGATACTAAAAATTTTGATGAAATGCTAGTAAAGTTTCTATAGCTTCCAGCATATTGCTAAACATTTTCAGCTAGTAAAGTATCAAACAGTCAGACCTTCATATGAATGTTTCGAGAAGTTTGGGAAATTATAATATGGCTACTCCCATACTCCTACAGATTATATTCCTAGGTTAATAAACCTCACTAATGTATGAAGCTAAAGCAAGGGATGGCCTCACTAATGTTAATTGAGTTTTAGTAATATTTTACAATACTACGAATGCAACCAAGAAGGTTACAAATTTTTTACCCGAGGTATCAACTTGGAAGTTTACTAGTAAAAACTCGATATGGAGTAGAGAATTAGTCACTCTTTTTATTGCTAAGAGAGACTCTCTCCGATTCATCGGTAGATTATGTTACTGAAACGTGCAGCTCCCCTGGGAGAAATCTTGAGATGCTAATAACTTCAATTCTCTGTTGGTTAATTGATATAAATGAGCAGATCTCGAAAGGTTTCATCAAAGAGTTCTTCCCTTTTTCCAGAAATTTAAATAGTACTTTGAGAAGTATTTCCTACTAATGATGGTATGTTAAGCATAATAAAAGATAAGTAAGAGATGAACTGTTAATAACTAGTATGAAACTTATGAATAGCTGTCTTTTTCTTAAACAAAGCGTGTCTAAATTGCAAGCTATTATTAAAGAGCAATGAAATAAAAATGAAACTGCGATACTAGCAGAGCCTTATTCATTGAAAAATTTCAGAAAATTTCTAGTTTTTACACATCCAGATGTCTCCAGGAAGATCATTTGGAACTTATTGTGATATTCAGATGACTAGAGTAGCCCTTTTAGGAAACTGTTAGTAACAATTTCTGATAAAGATATCTATTTATACTCGTTTATTACCTAACCTAGATTAGAGTATTTCAGTTTGATTTTATAGTTCAGAGTATGCATAGATTATAGAGAAGTAGAGAAATAGGTAACATTATTGCTCAGGTTGCTGATGAGAAGACTGATGGGGGAAGATATGTCCCAGATTATCATTGAGCCCCATCTGATCTCAAAAGGCAAAATTCAATTTAGTAAATCGAAAAGCAAATAATTTTTATTTTCTCGATCATCTCTAAGCAGGAAGTCAATGGGTAGAAATTGATACAGTAATAGTAACTCTAAAAATTGGAGAGTTATCTAACCTCTTCTCAAGTTAATCATCGTACCTGATGTATCCTTAGAATCAAATGATCTTTCAAGAATGTCGTCTGAGATTCCAGGGACTTCTAGATGTCCTCTGAAAGATTTCTTCATATTGGAGTTAGGCATGCAATTGAAGCAGAAGGGCAATTTCTGGCCCAAACTTGTTGTGCCCTCTTTGTTTTTACCAGAATTCATGCTACTTTTATCCAGGTACTGGACATAGCTCTTTGGATAACTTTTTTGACAAGCAAATCAGTCTACTTGCTCTACTGTATTGACTGGCATTTTCTTTGTTTTAATTATTGTTCAAGTTTTATATAGTTTGCAGGGGTTTTGGGGTTTTGGGGTTTTGGGGTTTTGGGG